GGGGGCTGGGCGCCGGGGTTCCCCAGGCGCGGGCGGGCCTCGGGGGAGGAAGGAAGCGGGGGGCCATCCAACCGAGTGGAGGGGCCCCGGAGCCCCGTTAGCCTACGGGTCGTACTCCCTCTCACCTTTGTTTTCGGGGCCCCGAGCCATTGTTCGGCCGGGCAGGCCAGTGGAGAAGGGGCGCAGGGGCCACCTCCGCCCAGTCGCGAGCTGGGCCCCATCCCGCCCTGCAGATCTGACTTTCGTCTGGGGACAGGCGCCCCGTCTTGTTTTGCACCGGAGCAAAACGGGCCCGAGGTGGGGGTGGGGTGGGGATGGGTGGGAGGAGGAAGCGGGAAAGCCAATTCTAGGACCAGAGAAGAGGGACCCCCAAAAGTGGGACCTCCGCGCCCCCAAAGGCGCCCCGGTAAAATGCGAACTGACAACGCGAGCCACCAGAAAAGGCAGCGGTACCGAGGGCTCGGGGTTCTCACCAAGCAGCGCGCTGGTTTTGGGGGGTGCCCGCGGGGAGATGAGCATGTTGCACCTTCAACGCATTTGCTTTAGGATTTCGAGAACGTGAATGTGGGGAGGGGCGGGAGCGGGACTAAATTTGCGGAGCTGCTTTTGAGTGATCCGGGTGGGGCCAGCGCTCGGCGCCGCAGCTGCCCGACGGGTTGCATCCCGGGACCGCGGGTCTGAAGGGGCTGCAGCCTCTGCCCTAATGGCGCTAAGACCCTCCAGCGGCCGCGGACTAGGCGTCGGGCTGCTAACCCACCAGGTGGGACAGTAAACACGAGCCCTTCTGCACCTTAAAGTCTAAGGGGCAAGTTTTATCCTGCCCTCTAGGTCCCAGTGGACTCGCAGGCAGTGGGTTCCGGTTGGTGTTGGTTCAGGGCATCCTGGGTTGGTTTGGTGCTGGGTAAAATCAAAGGCCAGATTATAGAAGGAGATTTACATTCGCTTTTATCCCCACACAAGCCCTGGTGTAGTGGTTACAACGTGGGCTCGCAGTTCTACCCTATCCTACAGGGTCCTTGTGAGTCAGAATTCACTCGGTAGCAGAGTTTGTTTCTGTTTTTGAGGGTTTTATTTTAAATCACCAAGAGTGGATCCCTGGTGGTGTAGTGGTTACAAGGTGGGCTGCTAACCTCAAGGTTTACAGTTCAAAACCACCTGTAGCTCTTTGGGGAAAAGGTGAGGCTTTCTGTTCTGGTGAAGTTAGTCTTGGGAACCCTGGCCTCTAGGGTTGCCCTAACAGCCGGGAGTTGGTTTTTGGTTTATTCCCTGGTGGCAGGCACCGCGGTTAAGATGGCGGAGTGGTTAAGCAGTTGGAGTCCACTAGCCACAGAGCTGGACGTTCTCCAAAGGACAAGATGCACAGCCTTTGCCAACGCCGGAAGCACAGAGAGGGCACTTTTCTACTGACCTCGTGGGAGCTCTTCGGTGGTCTCAGGCCGCACGCAGCATCTCCGGGTCAGCTGTGTGTGTGTGTGTGTGGTTATTTCCATCAACACAATTCGATGCAAATGTATTCTCTAGGTTTTTTTTGGCTCTTTTTGTTTGTGTTTCCACCTTGAACGCAGCGCGGAGCAAACCCGAAAGCCAGTTTCTAGTTCCAGGAGTCTGGCTAAACATAATTTGGATCATTAAAACCACATTTATAAAGGGTTCTGCCGGAGGGCAATGCCGTGCTTTCTTTTAAAATGAAAGCCCCCCTCCGCCCCCCCAAACATACTCGCCCCTAGGCTGCCCATCTCCTAATTGATGGCAGTTCTTGTTCTTCAGTCTTTCCCATTTTGACTTCCTGCAGAGAGCTTGGGGGTGGGGTGGGAGGTGGGTGGTGCCTGCAGAACTCAGATATTGTTTGCAAAAGAGGCAGGAAGGAGGAGAATTGCTCTAGGGTTGAGTTGTGGCAGGTCCCCTGTTTTGGAGTAAAGCTCCCTTCACTTGACAGCCTCAGTTCCCTACCTTTTTCTTTTTTTGAGTACCTGCAGATTGCAAAGGTGTATTTATGGGGTTTCTCAACTCATGTTTTTCTAGCAGAATTTGCCTTGGGAGAGGGATTTTTTGCCGTGGAAGTGTTGTTTCTGCTTTGCATCCTGGGCTAGTGGCCCACCCCCCCCTTTGTTGTTAGAAGCCGTTGAATTAGTCCCTCCACACAGTGACCCTGTGCACAACGGAAGGAAACACTGTCGTCCTGCACCACCCTCACCATGGTTCCGTTTGAGCCCCATGTTGCAGTCCCCCTGTCAGTCCATCTTGTGGAGGGTCTTCCGCTGTTCCACCGCCCCTCCACGTTACCAAGCATGCTGCCCTTTTCCAGGGACTGGTCTCTCCTGACAACAGGTCCAAATAACTTGAGATGAAGCCTTAGCACTAAGGGGCATTCTCGCTGTGTGCTTCCTTCTTGTCTGTTCTCGTCAATTCTCTCTTCTCAAGAGAAACACAGTTTTTGTAGCGTGTGACGCTGTCAGGTTGAAAGAGCGCGTCTCCTTGCAGGCGGTCGCCGGCTGCTCACACCCCACCTGCGGGTCCAGTTAGGGGTTGCTGCCTTATTGGGAGAAACGAGCGTGACATTTGATGAGCCCGGAAGCCGTCGTCAGATGAATGCGGCGAGAAAACGATGCAAATTTTGGAAGCATTTCTCAACCACGAAGCTGAGAGTGCACACAAGCGAAAAAGAATTCCAGTAACTCCAACAAAAGCAAAAGGGAAAATCAAAAGAAAACGCTGACACAATACTGACCGGTAGCAACCCTCTAGAGGACAGGAGAGCCGTGCCCTACGCCTTCCCATGACTGCAGCTGCTTAGGGGAGTAGAAAGCCCCATCTTTCTCCCAAGGAGCTACTGGTGGTTCCAAACTGCTGACCTAGCAGGTCACAGCCCAATACATGACCACTACCCCACCAAGGTTCTTGTGTCAACACACAGTTTTGGGCTAAGGTGAGCTGTCTTCCTTTCCGACGGACCTACTTTAAGGACTAGGAAGGCAGGTTAGGACGAAGGAGTTTATCACTTGTTCAGCAAGTCCTCTCAGTGCCCACGATCATCTAGGCCCCTGTGATGTCCCAGGAGAAGGTTGTCAGGCTTGGTGGAGTTGGGGGCAGCACCACAGGGGAAGACCCTCAGCGAGATGGACGGCGTGGTGGCTGCAGCAATGGGCTGCAGGTGAGGAGGGTGCAGGACCGGCCGGGCTTGATTCTGAGCTGCGCAGGATGGCTGGGAGTCCGAACCACCGACGCGATGCCACAAATGAGATGACTTTAAAATAGAAGGATTATCCTGGGTCATCGGGGAGGACCAATATTACCCCCCATCAGCGCACCATTTTGGAGAAAGACGGGGCTTTCTACTGCTGCATGAGCTCACTGTCTCGGAAACCACGGGGGCAGTTGTGCTCTGATGTCAGAGTGGAATTGTGCTGCCTCGGGGTTTCCGGGTTGATTTCTCGGAAGTTCACCAGGCCTTTCTTCCGAGGCACCCAACCACCACTGCCGCTCGCAGAGAGCAGGGTGGCTCGTCGTGCTGTGTGCTGGGAAAGTCCTGTGACTGCACTCTGTCTGTCGGGGTGGCCACAAGCCACTCAGGACTAGGGACTCGGGGTTCTCTTGTACGTGAACTCATTGACATTGGGGCAGCCGAATGTAGCTGGTGGCTGCTGTACGGAGTAACGGTGGGGGTGCGAGAAACAGGCTCAAAACCCGTGCTTATCAGCGGAAGCAAGGCAGTGGCGGAGAGGAATCCAGGAACCGCCACGAGGTACTTCCACAAATGTTTAAGCTTCAGGAACTACCAGAATGTTTAAAGCACATGCCGGGAAAATGGATGTGAAAAATACCAGCACAAAGGAATACATCCTGAGAACAAATAAGACACAACGCGAGCCTGCCTTTTTCCTCTATAACTGACACCGCCAAAGACAAATATTAGCTCACTGCTGGGAAGGGTGGAGGTCGTCCTGGGCGGGAACTGCAGAGAAAGGGCGGGCAGGCATGACCTGCCAGGGGGGGCCATTAGAACCAGTCACTCCCCTTAAGAAACAAACAACAAAGCCCACTGTCCCAAGCCGATGCTCACCCGTCGTGACCCGATCAGGCAGACCACTTGGTGGTTTCAAACTGCTGACCTCTGGGTAGACAGCCCCGTGCGTCACCGCTCCCCTTACGTCTCCCAAAGTAGATTCCCCACGCGCTCTCAGTTATCTGAAAATGATGTCGTGGGTACGCCTTGGCCAAGGGCAGCAGTGCTTGTGCCCCCAGCTGCTCCCGGGAAGGAGGACGAGGCTGTCTGCTCCCATAAAAGGGTACCGTCTCGGGAGCCCACAGGGCAGCCCTGTCCTGCCGGGTCACCCGAGTGGGAGTTGGCTCCATGGCAGCGAGTTGGCTTTTGGGTGTTCTGCAGTAAAAGTAGGGTGTGAAGAGGAACTGACAGCCCATCCCTGGGCCGACCGTCCTGGGTTTGACCCGCCTCTCGGCACCCGGCACCATACATCCTGTAGTTCCAGTCAGTCTGCTCCTACTCCCGGGTTCCTGCACAATGGGGAGGCGGAGATGTGATTTACAGGCGAGGGGCGTGAGGCAATGCCTTGTCTGTGTGTATAATGGGTAAGTATTATAAATATACAGCACACAGTGTTTACGTATCAGGACTCCAGTAAAAATAAGCAAGACCCCAGCCTGCAGGGTTACAGGGTTCCTCAAGCTGTGTGTGTGTGTGTGTGTGTGTATGTCTGTGTGTCTGTGTGAGAGAGAGAGGCCCCCAATGCAAACAACAATGACCCCCAGGCCAGAGATCCTGACCCTGGAGACCCCACCAGGTGGCCTGCCTGCAGCTCACCATGGGAGAACGCGTGCAATGCCCAGGCCACCTTGCTGGTCCCCAGAATTCTTGCCTTCCGTCTGAGCAGCTGAGGCCCCCTCCGTGGAGGCGTGTGCTGCCATCACGCCAGACAGATTGCATTGGCACTTCCGGACTAAGAGGGACCAGGAAGGAAGGGCTGGCGATTCACCCGAGAGCCAGCCAGTGGTAACCCCGATGGATCTCAGCAGCCCGGGCCCCAACTGCATCATGACAGCGACACAGGAGGGTACGTGGCAAGGATGCAGAATGACTTTCAGTGGACCTTCCAGCCGCAGGTGGAGAAAGACAGGCTGGGGAGCTAATTCTGAAGATCAGCCAGTGAGAACCCTAAGGGTCCTCAAGGTCGGACCTGATACCAAGAGGAACTGATACCAAGGGCTCAATGGAAAGAAAATGTCAAGAAAAGAATGATGGCAACCTATGTACAAATATGCCGGATACAATCGATGTAGGGATTGTAATAAGAGTTGTAAGGGTCTCCCAAATAAAGTGATCTTTTAATTGAAAAAAAGAAATTCCTCCTCAGAAAATTTCTGGCTTCTTCTCCCCAATTCAGTTTTCCTAAAACCTCTTCCTGCTGCAGGAGGCCGATGGTGCTGCAAGGTCAGCAGTTCAAACCCACCGGCTGCTCTGAGAGAGAAAGACCAGGCTTTTCTATGCCCATAAGGCATCCAAA